CAAATAACAGCTTTCTTCACACACAAAAAATCCAACATTTTTACACCTTATTTTCCTGAGGAAACACTTACAAAATATTCAAACACAAATACAGCAATACTGCAGGCTTCTGAAAGCAAGGTGCACCTTAGATGGTAATTATTAACTTTCTCTCCTTCTCCACACCCCCCACCCCCCCACCCTCATTTTCATTTGCTTGACGCAATACTAGAACGTGATGGAATGCGTTTCATCTTGTGCTGGGGAGCGCACGGAATCAGTGGCAAAAATAAAATCGCTTCATGTTGCATACAACGTCACCGTCTGTATGAATTTAGAGGCTTAACAAAAAAAGGTTTAAAAAAGCCTTTTCGGGTTATTGTAACACCAGTTAATTGTGGGACAAGCTACACTGAAGTCCATCTCAGCAAATTTAGAACATATCCCTCACATTTAAACTTTTATTCACATTTAGCAGAAAGAAATGATTCAAACAATTAAGAACTTAAAATAAATGAAACGGGTTAAATTGCCATGGGTAAAAAAATTAGAATGCAAAGATGTATGTGGAAATGGTCATAGAATCACATGGCCTAAATCATCTTGGATTAAGTACTGTTGGGCAGTTTCTAGGATTCAAATGAATAAATCTCTCAGTATGAGGCAAGCACTGTCGACCAATCCTAGTTCCCTCGCCCACATACCCATTTATACGGCAATGCTAAAAATGAGATTAAAGATTACAGGTTCCACGCTCTAAACATTACTCTCCAAAGAAAAAGATTAATGGGGTGGCTGATGTGAATTCTTGATGAATGTCTGGATTACAAAACAAACAAATCAAAAAGTTTAAATGAAAAAGAAATACAAACTAAGATTGAAGCTAGAGTGGTTTTGATCCCCCAAACAGAGATTGCTTTGTAATCACTCCCATTTCATGGGATGATTTTACTCTTTATATATTGGACTCAACACTGACTGTGTGCTGTGGGGTCTCACTGCCTGAGGACATTCATTGTGAGTTTAGATAAATAATTTGCACTTATAATAAAATTCCATGGCGAGTATATTCATTTTAATATCTTACACTGCTGAATGATCTACCTCTGACTTGTATAACAGTTGATCCCAGATGGACAAGATGGAAGTAAAGTTCCCATTTAGTACAACAGAAATAATATCATAAACCAGGATCAGATTTTAAAATGCAAAAAAAACATGCACCAATTAACAATTTTTGATAGATGACAAATAATGTAACCCACACAGAATCCTAAACATAGTATTTTTGGGTGAGACTGCATCAGACTTTTTTTTAATCCTTTCTAAACTCCAATCTTGCTGCACAAGCAGGAGAAAGTAATAAATAAAAATCTAGCACTATTTTAATGTGTTCAACTTTCTATTGTACTTCCAGCAGGGCATTGCAGCATCACTAACATGGTCCTAGACTTGCCAGCAACCTAAGAGGATTTACTTGTCAACTTTGGGGGCGTTGATAAAACAAGGCCAAATCGCCAGTTTACAAATAACTACTTTGTTTACTCAGAATTCGCAAATCATTTGTTTCTTTCTGGGGCGTATCTTCAGAGAATATGTGGGCTCCCTCTTTGAATCTCTCTTACCCACTACTGTACTAAAAATAATCACATTTGGTGAGGCATTGCTGGCTGAGCAGTTAAAACTGATTTTGATCTCAAATCTTTTCTCTTCATTGCAGGTTGTGTTCGTCAGTTTACTGAAACTAGAATAAGAGGATTGCAGATGTAGTATGAAACTTTTTAAGATTGTCACTAAGTTTTTAAAAGAAATAATGTATGTTGGAGTAATTTATTTTCTGTCTATACTGCCAACCGTAAACTCAAACACCCAGTGAAAATTATGACCAACATTTCTTACAACCTGTATTTCATCCTCCTGATTATATACGTCCCTCATAAATATCGACTTCTGTATAAAATATCTGGGGAGAATCCATCTCCATCCACCGTGATTGTGCTGCAGTGGGCTTGTAATGTCATTAAACTTCCAAGAGCAATAGAGCATAAAGTCTGGGTGAGTGAAGTGACATGACTGACATGTTACACATGACTCATTTACGATTTCAGACAAAACAAATGTACTCGACATATAAAGCTCGCTTTCAGTAGGTGCACCAATGCAACCTGTTGCCAGCAACAAAAAAAAGGGGGGGGGGGGAGAATGCACAGATCCTTCATTGTTTGGAACATATGATAAAATGAAACGAATAATGATTGTAGCTATAACGTACAAAACCTACTAAATTGATGCTGGATTTGAATAGAAAACAAAGTGTGTTTAGCACTATTACTGTATAACAGCAACATCTAATTTAGATGCACAAGTTGATTGCACTTCAAAGGTTTTTAAAAATCTAAGTTGTACTTTGTGAAACATCTGCAATCTCCAGATGTTTTCAGCTGGCAAACAAAATTGGGCATTTCATATTGTGGAGCCTATTTTGCTAATCATTCACTCCACAATGCTCCCTGTATAAAATGAATCTGCACTATCTAATTCCATGAAGATATTTCAGCAGCTGCCAAGCTGCAGGCACTAATCGACTGCAAGACTCTTGCAGCAAGACCGATTATCAGACAAAAATCTTTTTACCTTTTAAACTAGATCCTCACTCCTTTCCTTCCTCACCTACGGAACGTAAAACATGACATCTTATTCCCCTTCTACAGCAAACTGAACTCCAGCACAAGGTGAAAACAGGACAAAAATATAAACTTTTTTTGCCATAGGTGCACATTGCCTTTAAACTTTTTTTGCTCCTAAATAATAAAACAATTGATTATATTTCCCCTTACACAGTTAAGAGGTTTCTTTGTCTATATTGGATGGGGGAAGCAGGAGTAGGAAGACTTGTGGGGCTTTTTAATTAGGTTGTCAAGGCAGCCCTTCCTTCCTCCCTTCTCTTTCCCCCTTAAATGTATAAAATTTGTTTTTTTCATGATTCCCTTGAAAATGTTGATGAAACTACTTGAGCAGAATGTGCAAGGTCTGAGGCAAATATGATTAGTGACTCTCGCAGGACAGAGATAAACATGGACACATTTGTTTTTCCATCCTCCTACTCAAGTCGTATGAAAAAAATAATGCAATAAAGCCTTTCTTAGAGCCCTCAAGCAGGGCTGAATTTAAAACAAATGCTATTCTTTAGATTTCAATCCGTCTTCTCCTCCCCTAAATGAAAAAAAATTGTATTTGACTGTTTTAGGAGAGGGGCTTTTCACTAGGCCAAAGCTTCCTAATGACACACCATATGTCGCAGTGTCTCAACAGCTGAGGGAGACAAGGAGAAGAATGATGGAGAGCTCTAAGCAGAAATCTATTTGAAATTTAATACCATTATCCTAATGCACACAGCTTATTGTTTGGCCAAGAATCTGCTTGCTCCAGCAAAGCTGATAGGGTCACCCGTGGGCGGAATATATTCTGGATTAGCTCTATTGGTGTCAGTGATCCAGGAAGAGTCACTATCAGAAGGAGCAGCGTCTGCCTCAAACCTGAGGTCAGTTCTCTACATGGAACTACAGTAAGAATACCAATTGCTTATTTTTCTCTCCTGAATGGAAAGTCTAGTTTGTACCAGTTCACTCACAGCTGGAATTAACTGGTTGACTAGCATCTGCCAAAAAGTGGTTATTGAAACAGATTGCCGTTTTCAATATGCTATGATTTAAGTCCTTTAGTAGTCATTAATTCAGCCAATTTAGAATATTTCTAAATTTATAACTTTTTTATCAAAAGAACATCAGGGATAGAAACTGAGTGGTAACACTGGAAAAGTGCAATTTTCTATTTCTGGTGCAGGGTTGAATAAATAATTTTAGTTTTGGTCCCAGTGCTATAAAATGCCACTTTAGTTTTGTTTTCCTAATGATTTCTCAACTTGTCTTGATTAAAAGTCAATCCCGGCCCAATCTATATACCTGCACGTAAAGCAAATGTAGAGGAATGTCACATTGACTTCAACTTCGGGGAAATTAAAAACCCTAATAACAGTTTTGCAACAGTACCATTGAACATTGACAGAACACATCCAGTAGAGGGCAACCCAGTTTCAAAATTTCTCATCTTCCCATCGGATCCTGTGGTCATTTTTATATCTAATTGGAGTAAAAAAGAAAATTGCCTCAACTAAAAATTCTTTGATGCTGTCATTTACTGCCGTTACAGTGATCATAGTGCAAAAAGCTCTCACTGTCAATCTCAATGTGTAGTCATTACAGGGTACATACTTGGCTGGCACACTAGGTCATTCCATGTTTGGAAGGTAGAATCTGGTTTCTCCACACAAGGTCAACACAATTGGTGTGATTCAAGTGACTCCATTTATCTGTGACACAATAGCATTGCAGGGAGATACTTGGCTATATGCAACTAAATTTTTAAAAACTCTATAAATTATCTATTTGATTCTCTACCAATGGTACTTATCTGCTATTTAAATAAGCAAGGCTTTTAACGTTCAACCTTTCCAATTGAACAGAGATTTAGTAAAATATACATCAGTATTATTGGAGGGAAGGGCTGGGGTTGGAAGAAGAGAGAAGTTTTCCTTTGACCACTAGTCACAGTACAGGGAAAAAACAAATTTGCAATTACCATCTGAGCATAGAATTCAAATGTTGCAAACTCATTCTGGAGTAAATCCTGGCATAATTTTTCTTGGCAAAATTATGCGTCTAGTCACAATTGAACAGCAAGAAACAAACATTTTAAATTTGAATCGATGCATTTTGCTCCCTGTATATAAGCGGAATCTAAATGAAGCCGGACATGCATTTAAAATAAAGACCAGCTCAGCACCAATAATGAGGACAATTTTGTCCTGTAAGTTTAATTATTTTTCTGCAGTAGATTTTGTTGCTGGATTGAGACTGTGACATAATAAGGCAAGCTAGTCCAATGCCAGTACAGGATTTGGGGTACTGCCAAAATAGTATTGGCTTAGTTGAGTGCTAAGTTTTGTGCACACGATTCTTCCAACTCAATTACTGTGGTCTATAATTATTAAGACTAAGGATTATTGGGGTTTTCTCTTATAGATACAATTACAGTAAATTATGAAGGTCAAACTTTTTGTTTGGAGGATTTAAGTTTGTTAAAGCTGGAAATTGAACATTTCAAACATTAGCACGGTATGCTGTGTCAGCTTCAAACATTCTTAGGTAAAGGATAGAATAAATTAGGAACAGTGAAGCTTCCTCCACTCTGACACAAACACTGCACCTTTACCAAACTTTGGAAGAAACCCCCCAATGCACCATTTGGCAGTTCAGCTAGCTTTACGATTTCAGGAAGATGCCAATTTTCTACTAAGTTCAGGGATGCTTTATGCTATGCACTTGCACTCAAGAAAGTGATTTTTTTTCAACTCCTAATAGCTATTAACAGATAGAATATCATCTTGCTGGTGTGGGTTGGGTTCAAATCCAGGTCCCACAAGTGACAAGACAGTGGGATAACCAATTAACATTGCAAAATTAATCTAGGACATCTGTAACCAAGACTTTTTGAATGAGAAAAAAATCAAGAATGATGTTGGCTGACCAGAAGATCAAAAATATTTGCTGTCCATTAGCAAAATTACAATTAATGTCTCCCCTCCTCCCTTCCAGTCTGAACCATATACACTATTGTAAGTTAATTGGTACAAATGCACCATTGCAAATCATTTAAAATTAACTGTGATTTTAATGTTATGGAATTACTTTGGGCAGAGAGAAATAAATCAAGAAAGGAGATACTAGAAATGTTTTTAGTGCCACATTCCTCTGTCTCTACAATTACTCCCATTGCCTGGTGGGAGATAAATAAATTTTGCTCGCTCCCCTGCTTCCTCCAGAGAATAAAAGAAACCCAAGGAATTGTACAATCATGTGTGCACAGTGGGTAAAAGTTGGAGAATATGCACATATTTAAACAGCTAACAAAATTGGTTTAAATCTAATTAATGTCTAAAAGCAAATGAAACGGTTTACTGCAATGCTCAAATTCCCATATGCACTTTAAAAACCAGTCAGTTCCAATGTGCTCCTTAAAAATACAACTATTAAAAGTTTGGATCATCTGAAGGCTCTGTGGTATATTTTGTTCAGTTAAACCATGCACAGGTTATTTGAAACTTACTCAAGCCATTCAGTATTTTACTTCTAACTAGAAGGTTGAGAGCATATGGCTAAAATGTATTTGTCATGGGTGGCTGAATTGCATTGGTTCTTAGGGAGCTGGACAGAGTAGACTTCCTCAAAATAAGCCACAGCTAGAGAAGATATCAACTTAGAATTTACTAATAATCTAACAAAATTTCCTAGGCATCAAGTAAATCATGCAGTTTAGCAAAATGCTGTGCAATAGATGCAGTTAATGACAATGGCACCCTGACTGGCATAGACATGTTTACTCAAGAAGGGGATGTTGAACGTTTAAAGGATATTTTTATTCAATCCAGTTCCCGTCCTTATGGATTTGCAAGCACCTACACAACAATGCTTCACAATTAGGAGGGGGAAAAAAAACAATCTTAACTGCGTCTGTGACAATGAATGACTCTTTTAGGGAGTGGAATGGAAGGGGTGTGTGAGGGGAAGGAGAGAAAGTTAGTGAATCATTTCATATCTGTCTCACAAAGCACCTAATGGCAAGTTAAAGAAAGACATTGGCAGAACTGGTAAATGATTGCCTAGGACTGCCTCTTGGATGAAGAGCAGTACATAAGCAGATAAGCAGCACTGAGATAAGATTTTTTTTTGGGGGGTGGGGTAATTATAATTGTACATCAAGATGAAATCTAAGGGTGTTCTTAATTGCTGAACAGGCCTTTATTTCACTTATTAGATTAAAATATTACCAGTATGTAGACGTTTAAAATGCTTTTGTGGGAATTTGCTCTTAAAACCCATTTATACCTAATGGGTTCTTTAGTCCTATGGAAAGAACTGTAATAATGAGTAGAGCATTCTTTCGAGTGCATTTTATCAATACCCTCAACCCATGCTTCTTCTCACAGCTTGCTGTGCCACTACAGCAACAATTGTAGGCATACAGTATTTCATTTAAAAATGATTCCCTCAGTGGAATAATTTTACCGCCTCTCTAGACTAACTGGAAAATAAGTATTTTTTCAAAAAGTTTTTAGCAGCCAACACATCAACATAAAAATTAACTAAAATAATAAAAATGAAAGTTCAAGTTTTCAAGTTATTTTTCTTAGAATATTCTGGACTGTCCCCACATTTAGCNTTTTTTTCCCAATGCAGTGCAATATGACTCTCCACTAGGGTTTAGGCAGTAGCTCATTTTTGTAACCACAGCAATGATGACAAAGCGGCAATGGCGAGGACCTCGGGACCAAGTACAGTATTCACGGAATTCAGCGCAGTATTAGAATAAAAAAGAACATTTCTGCATGCAGACCCATTAGCACACACGGTAAAGCTTTCTACACGTGTCTGCTTGCGACTCGTCTTCTGAAGTCCACTTCGGATCCCCGTCTTATTATTTTTAAACTGCCATCTTTCATCATTAACACAGATGGATTTTATAGTCCAACCCAAACTCATTCCAGTGTTTTATAATCCCTGGATAGTTTTAAAAACTCCACTTCAGGTGCCTTTCTGACCACTGTGGGCTGGAGGTTTCTGTGTATATCTCTAACAGATTTTATACCATTGCCCTATTATTTTTGCAAGCAGCAGAGAGGTTTCTTTCTATCTGTAAACGGGTAGTCGAATGTGAGCATTTTGATGGTCCAACAGTCGGGGTACTGACACAGTCTCATACCCTTTACCCAACATCTGCTCCTTAATGCAGGGTGGATGAATATCATTAATCAAATACTCCAGTGACTGCAGACTACTGCTAAGGATAGAGGTATTACACAGCGTTCTACTGGAGACACTAGTGAGCCCATCTGAAGGGTGAACTACAAGGTCACGGTGGCCATTAGTGAGCTCCTGGGGGTTGTAACAGTCGCTATCTGGAGTCACCAGTATGCTGTTCCAAGGGGCAGCCAAATACTGCCCCGTCGAAAAGTTGCAGTGCATGCCCACACAGTTCAAAGGAGACGATGGAATTTTTTCAATCGTAGGCGCCAACGTGTACGACCGTGGGATACCACAAACCTCCGGTGATTTACTTATTACTCCACCCCCACCGCTGCCAGAGTACATTCGGATCTGTTGTTTCTGTTGCCATATCAAATAATCCATTCCGTCTGGGTAGAGCCCAGGTTTCGGTCCTGCTGTGGAGGCCACAATTGAAGCAGCAGCCAGCTCTGCTCCCCCACGGCATTCAGGTATGACAGATCCAGTGTATACTACACTTCCATTCGCCAGGCTGGCAAAACCACTGACGCTGCTCCGGCTGACCACAGTAGCCGGGCTTGGGTTGGTGACGATGGCACCCTGACAAACAGCAGCGGAGACCTGTTGTGAAGCCTGGGCCTGACATTGTTGGTTTATCTGGTAAATTATGCTTTGAATAGAGGGAAGGTTTGACTGCTGTAGGGCCAGGCTTTGGCCTGCTATTGGAATGACAGACGTTGAAACAGTCACATTAGGTGGAACAGGTCCCTCCAAAGGCTTTTGGCTATTATGGTAAGTTAGCTGTCCAGGACACGATTGACTCTGTGCTAAAGTGCTCGGCACGGGGTATGGTCCAATGTTGCCATTTACAATTTGCGCAGGGGACATCCGAGTCCGCTTGCCTTCTGAATTTTTCACAACGCTTTTACTGTGTACCTTCACAATGGCTAATAGGCCCTGGTAGCCTCCAGTATGCAAGGGGTATGGGCTGTAGCGTTGCCCGGTTGTGTCATAGCCATTCACAGTCCTATTAAGGTGCTTATGCTGAGGAACCCTGATATTTGTAGGAAAGATCTTGATTGTTAGAGGACTGCTGGCCACCTTCTGGGCATAAGCATCGAGTTCAGCTGGGCTGGGATACCTTGGCGAATGTGTGGATGTGCCCGTTTCACCTGAAACAAAATATGACAGTTAAATTAGAACAAAGGAATAATCGAAATCCTAATTGTACTTTCACCTGAAGCGTTCACTTCTGAGGGCTTCTCTGACACACATACCAACTTTGTCTTCACTGGATGTCAACAAATAAGCTGTTTAGCAGAAGAGCTAACAGGACACAAACACATGTTCTCAGCTAAACCAAAACTTGTTATATTGTATTCCTTTTAACTGAAATGAAAATTATATATATCCAAAATCTTGTGCAGAGATTTGATCCACACCCTCAAATTGAGATGGAAAAAAATGCAGAGCCTATTTTTAAATCAATGACTCCTTCCTTCAGATATATTTAAAGAGCTCATGTCAGTACCATGGTCACATTTTTTTCTAATTCAATGAATGGTTTTAGTGTGGACCATATTGAGGATACAGCTTAGAGATGTTCCCATGCAGGAGATAAATTTAAACAGTGGAAATGTTGGTCGCTAAAGAACCTTGTGTAGTTTAACAGTTAAATTATCTTGCATGCACTGATCATCTCATTAATTACTCCAGACTAGTTACCCAAGAAGGTTGTTGGCACAAACACCCACAAGGAGAATGAACAAACTGAAGTATGAATTGTTGGGCAGGACATCAGAAGAAACTCCTCTTTTAGGGATCTTGAACATAAACCTGAAGGGACCTTACTGCTGGGACCTTGGTTTAAACATCCCATTTTAAAGACAACTCCAACAATGCACCACTGCCCTACAACTGCACTGGAATGTCAGCCAAGAACCAACGTGCGGAGTGAATGAAACTACAACCTTCTGGGCAGAGGCTTCATATGTCCTGGTACTATGTCAAATGCAAGGATTATTATAATTAAGGAAAAACACCTACTTTTACTGCAACATTACAACAGTTCTAATTCCCACGTAAGCCATTCATAAGAATGGCTGATGCTGGAAATGGAATTGACAGATGACTGCCCAATTACAGGCAACTGTGTGCTGTGAATTTCACTGAGCAGGAAATGTGTTCAAATGAAATCAACGCGTTTCATTTAGGATTAGCAGCTATTCAACAAGAGATTCAATTCCATATTTTTGCTTCAACTCTCCACATGAAGATTGAGTAGAGCTGCTGCATTTATTATCTGTCCTTTTTTAGTATGTGCAAGTCAGCTATTGTATTTTGTGCAACTTGTGTTTGATGTCCCAAAGCACTTCATAACACAAGATATACTGAGTGTTTTATGGGCAAATGTGGCAGCCAGCAATGTCCCACAAACAGCCATGAAGTGAATGACATCCTGTGCCACTAGGAACAGATCTGACTGACAGTAGAGGACTTGGTTTTGAATCCAGGACATAAACTATTTGAAGTGTATAGTTTAACATGTGCATATGACTGCAAGGATGGTGGAAGGCAAACTGTTTTCTCGTCTAGGAATTTTTATGCTCTTAAGTTGCCTCCTATCTGAAAACTAACGAATAGGTAGATTTATCTAAATGTTGAGACAAGTTCATGAAGTATACACTGATAATTGCTTGTGCATTTTAGGTCCATTTGATCTCCAGGTGCTAGTATAACATTTACTTAGAATTATTAGTTAATAATATCAAATAAAATTTTAAAAATTAGCTTGGCATCAATCTCTGCTATGGTTAAGTGCTCCAAAATACTTATCTTGCATGAAGGACGCTACATGAATGCCAGTGCTGGAATTGAGGATACAAAGTTCCCACCCACTTCATACAAAAAAATATTGTAGAGCAGTGAAATTATCATGAATTTCGACACTTCGAGTATTTTTTAAAAAAACTATTAAACAGCCTTCACGCACTTCCCCAAAGCAGTAAAGGATGACTTACAGCCATTGGATTTTACAATTAAAATTACACAGCAATTTCAACTCATTTTTATCACAGTTGAACAATTTTGATGCTGAATGCTAGAATGCAACATGTAGCATGTTTTTTTGCTTCCTGGATGTTAACTCATATTATGACCATAATAATACTTCCTCGTATTGATAATCTTTACATTTACTAGAGTCTTTCATGTCGGGAGGATGTCCCAAAGCACTTCACAACACAAGATATACTGAGTGTTTTATGGGCAAACGCAGCAGCCAGCAATGTCTCACAAACAGCCATGAAGTGAATGATCTCTTTTTGAATACAGTGAAACTCTGATAACTCATCACCGCAATATGAGTTGCAACTCTGAATATGGGGCTTGAACCCACAACCTTCTGATAGAGGTGAGAGTGCTGTCAACTGAGCCAGGCTGACACACAAAGGGCAGGTAAATGGGACTGAAACAATTGGTCTTTAATTCAACTATACATGACAAGAAAGATCATGCTTAAATCAGGCTCACATCTGGATTAGAATGTCTCTAAAATGGGAGTGTATGAAAGGTTCTAGAATTGAGGCCACATGCAGCCCTTAAGGAAGGTGACATGTTCCACAGTGGCCACCCATGCATTTTAAGATGAAGTACAGTGCTGGTTGATTTTCTAGATTGCCCTCAAATTGTGAATTGAAAAGAACGTTTTCTCAAAGTGCCTGAAGGGAGAGGATGATGGAAAATTGGTTGTACTGCCAAAGCTCTAATGGAGTTCAGCTTTAATCTAAGTTCTGCCAGATGTTGAAGCCATGTTAAAACAACGCGGACCCACTGTAAGACTGTTTCCAATTTCCATTCTAGGCCTATTTGTAGATGTAAGTCAATAAAGCACAAGCAACAATGGGCTTAGTACTAAAATTCTAAAAATTCCCAACTTTCAAGCGCCGTGTTTTCATGCAGAAACTGGATACATCTGATAGAATAATCTGCAATGACACTTAGAACAGAAGGTCAGAAACACAGGCTTAACACATGAGGATGTTACATTTCTGCCTTTTAGGGTTGGTATTCAGCCACTGATGGGAGACATAGAGAAGTTCATGCTGAAATGTATGGAACACAGGGCATTGCCAAAGTCCAGGGGAAGCCATAGTTAAAGTACTCTTGAGTGCGGGATTGGATATTAGTAATAGGTTCCAGAATGAAAAGATCATTACCCCAATTGGCCCATCATGTCTGTGTTAGCCCCATTTTAGTCCCGTTTACCTGCCCTTTAGTCATACCACTGTAGCTTACTGTTTTTTTAATAAATATCTATCCAAATTCTGTCTCAAAATAGGTCCCGACAGGGCATTTCTATACACCGTGCGTGAAAGAAATTCTCTTAACCTCCCCATTTCCTGGCTATCTTAAATTGATACTCTCTAATCACCAACTTACAGTGAAAATAATTTCTTCCTATTGACTCTATCCAAACCCCTCATTATTTTAAAGTCACCCATCAAAGTTTTTTGTTCCAATTAAAAATACTGTTCCTCTAGTCTCTGCTCATTGGCCAAACCACTCACCCCTAGTATTATCCTCCTAAATCTCTGCACCTCCTCGATTATTACTATTAATAATAATAATTGCCCCCTTTATTGCCTTGACATCCTTGCTAAAGTGATGAGATCAAGAGTCAAAATAAACCGGAAACAGATTTCTCCAGGTAGAAACAAACTGGAATGGGAGTGAAGGGAAGGAAAGTCACAGACATCTACAACATTCTACCATACAAATTATGGCCCTTTATGAAGTCACTCTAGTGATTCCATCCCCCTCTCTTTCCAAAATTAAATGTACCATTGCTGTTAGCAGGAGCTGCAGATTGTTGTGGGATGAGAAGGATAGCAAACAAGAATAATGTCACCTGATGCAAAGGGAGAGAGAGATTTTTGTGGTTGTGCTAAAGGCATGTTATCAGAGCAATTTCATGGATGCTTAGCATTGCTTCTAGCCCACAACACAATAAGAGCATGTTCTTCACTTCAGCAATAAATCAACAAGAATCATAATGAACACAAAAAAATGTCACGTTGATGCAATTTTACACATCAAAAAATGGTTGAAAAATAAAATTAAATTGGTGCTACGTTAACTATCCTGTCAGGCAAGTACACTGTGGAAATAAAATAAATAGAAAATCCCACATCTCCAGCCTTTAGAAATCTGCTATATGATAAAATGCTGTGGAAACACATTTGTTGCATTCATTACTCTTTCATTTTGGGTTCATTCCAAGTATCTGATGGGCCATTAACTGTGGAAAATGAATACATTTCCAACATCCATGGCATAGATGAAGCAAATTAGGTGCTTAAAACCGGAAGGGAAATAAACCCGAGGACCATGCAAGGCTTGGCCTTGTTCCAGGCTAATACGAGAACACAAAAATAATCCAACAGGAGGCTGTTCCTAAATCAGTCAGAACATATTCCAACAGCTCTATAATGCAACCACGTACCATTAAAAAAATGCATAGGGACCAAATCGTAAGTCATCAACCAAGTACAAGTCATTACCCAAGTTACAACGGCAAGCTTGTGGTTGGCCAGTGAAGCCCAGTGAGGATGGGGTGATCGGCTCACAGAGCTTGGTTTGGGAGAGGACACAAACTGCAGAGTTCTGAATAATCCACAAGAAATCGGGCAGCCAGTGGAGCCTAGTGAGGACTGGATGGGTGATGAGCTTGTGAAGTTTGATGCGGATGGCGGAGTTTTGGATAATTTAGAATTTATGGATATAGAACCTAGAATTGAGAAAAGTTTACTCTGAACCTGTCTTGCGTTACACTTATCCTGGGAGTGTGGTAAGCAATGTAGATAACGAGCATCTGCAGTGGGAGAAAATGTTTAATTCCTATACTGAAAAACAAAAGCAAAACTTATGTAAATATTTGGAAAATATTCAGAAGGATTGGAAGAAGAGGAAGACGGAAATTACTTTGTAGTATGGTATTTCCCATTAGCTTTAACTTTGAATCCTGTGCATTAAATACCCATAAAGATGATACAGTAATGTGTTAAAGAGTACTACAATGAGGATTCATCAGTGTGCTGAAATTACAACCATTTCCAAATTTCCTGTCAAAACCAATAGTGATGAAGAGGAAAAATAGTCAATTAGTAGAAAC